AGACAATATATCGAATCGCAACGAAATTATACTCAACCACAAACACAGACAACATCATCACTTTTTATTGAAAGAAATCCAATTGATGTACGATATGAACAACCACAAAAACAACAAAATCATAATTTAAATATAAATACAATTAATATTGAAACACTTCCTTTACCTGAAAATGAAGGTTAATAGATGAATAAAATCAAATTTCGATAAATTTGTTTTTTTTTATATAGAAAATCTTCCATATTGTCCACCAGTAATTGAACCAGAATTAAAACATTGGTATGCTGTTGAAGTAACATATGTTAAATCAGCAGGAGAATTTTATATTCGATATCCATTTGGTATTGAAAATTCACTTGGTCAAGCTAATGAACGTATGTATTTTAAGTAACTTACATTAATAGAAATGATTTTATTGTATTCATCGAAATACTTAAGGCATTAATTTTTAGTAGTTTTTCTATCTAAATGATCCAGCAGAGGTAAGAAAAGTGCTGTTCATTCCTTCTTCAAACTACCGCTCACTATTGTCGTTTTGTATTCCCTTCCATCATACTTCATTGAAAAAAAACCACTTGAAAATCTTAAATTTTCTCTTTCTAGCTGCTCCATATCCTGATCATATTGAACCAAATATAGAACTTAATGAACTTCATCGAAATATGGCGTAATTTATTTTCTCATTGAATTTTGCTGAAATTCTTTTGTTTTTTTTTCAATTAAAGTGATTTTTATGGAACAGTACAACGTCGTAGTATATCAACAGCTGCTTCGTATTGTACCGGTCAAATGGTTGCTGTACGCTATCAATCACATTGGCATCGAGCACTTGTATTGGAATTTAAACCATCAACAAATTTTGCATGGGTATTATTTCTCCTTGTTAAAATAAAAAATGAAATATATTTTTTTCATATTGAAGGTTCAATTTGTTGATCAAGGTGAAAAACGTGAATTAGGCACAAATACAATGCGACCATTAGATTCGAAATTTCTCGATTTACCATTACAAGCATATTTATGTCATTTAGATGGTTTTGATGCCGATTATCCATGGACAACACAAGATCAAGAATTATTTAAAAAGAAAATACGTGATAAGATTTTATATGCAAGAAAAATTCGTGGTAAACTATATCTTTTAAAATAAATAATCTATTTTGTTTTTTTT